ACAACAAAGATATCCAGATATGGTGGGTCAACTCTTACCCTGGACACAAAATGGGTAACTGTCTACAGCAGTACGTCCAAACAACTGTTAACACCGGGTGTTATACAAGTTTTTATGGTGGCTGGGACACAAATGATGGGTAACTATCTACAACATAATTCATGAGTTGTATGTTAATTACATTAACACTACATAATTCATGAGTTGTATGTTAACACAATAACACTACATAATTCATTAGTTGTATGTTAACTACAATAACACTACATAATTCATGAGTTGTATTTTAATTACATTAACACTACATAATTCATGAGTTGTATGTTAACTACAATAACACTACATAATTCATGAGTTGTATTTTAATTACAAACCCACCATATCTGGATATATTTGTTGTTCAACTCGAACTGCTGGGTAAGATTTAACCCACCATATCTGGATATCTTTGTTGTTCAACTCGAACTGACTGCTGGGTAAGATTTAACCCACCATATATGGATATCTTTGTTGTTCAACTCGAACTGCTGGGTAAGAGTTGACCTACTGTATCTGGATATCTTTGTTGTTCAACTCGAACTGCTGGGTAAGATTTAACCCACCATATCTGGATATCTTTGTTGTTCAACTCGAACTGACTGCTGGGTAAGATTTTAACCCACCATATCTGGATATCTTTGCGTGTGGTTGAGATAAGAGGTTATTAGATACGCACGCAGCTAATTATTGAGGGTCTGGTGATTTTATAGATTTCTCGAAACAGATGTTCTTTCATTTCACTCTCAGTAAAAAAAGCCACGCAACTTAGTGATTACATCTAATGGAATATAAAGTAACTTATCTTGCTATACGATACAATATTCGGAGGAGCTCAAGAAAAACTAGCGGAGTCGTGATATACCTTATTTTAATTTTGAAGAACAAATTTTTATCTAGAAATAAAATACCTGACGTGAAGGGGTCGATATTAAAGTGCATTAACTAGTTTTTACAAGTTTATTTAGTTTGTGTAGATATATATATCTGGCTAGAAAATATTACACAAACTACAGAATAAAATACACACTGAGCTTTCTCAAAATGTTAATATTCTTATTTTTTTATAAATATCATTCTTGAGTCTATACAGCTTTTGTGGTTTTAATGTAACTGGTAGTGTATTGATTTGTTTATGTTTTATGGATTCTAAACTTTTTTATGATAGTCCCCTGTGTAGCTTTGCAATAAAAAAGATAACAATAACAAAAAATTCAAAAATTTCACGGAAAACACAGAATTTCGTGGACATTCTCATAATCAAACGAAATGATAAGTTCGCAACTACAGCACGTACAGAAAACCAAATCATTCCGACAGACACCTTAACTTCACTCACAACACCCACCATCCATAAGAGTAGCAAAGATGCAAAAACAACTAACGGTCGAGCACTGTCCAATGGTTAGATTATGGATCTGAGGTTCCTTGGTTTTGTACACAAAGGGCTATCTGTGCTCTGCCCACCACGGGTATCGAAACCCGGATTCTAGCGTTGTAAGTCCGCAGACATGCAACTGTGCCAGTGAGGAGCCCTCGGGGTTCGCGATCATGGTTTGCCATTGTTCGCAATGCCTCGCTGCTTGCACCAATTTTCTTTATTCAGACTTCTCGTCTTCAATACATTTTCTAATGTCCTCGAACTAAATTAGTCTCTTCTTGTCTCTCGCTCCTCTTTCTTCGATTTGACTCATCAGAATCTCTGTCAACCTTCCTTCACATCTAATTATATGCTCAAAATAGCGTGTCTTCCGTTCGCTATTTATGTACAGGAGAAATATTCCATAAAGTACTGTGCGGATTTTTATTTTAAGTAATGTTTGTTTGTTTGTTTTTGAATTTCGCCCAAAGCTACACGAGGGCTATCTGCGCTAGCCGTCCCTAATTTAGCAGTGTAAGACTAGAGGGAAGGCAGCTAGTCATCACCACCCACCGCCAACTCTTGGGCTACTCTTTTACCAACGAATAGTAGGATTGACCGTCACATTATAACGCCCCCACGGCTAAAAGGGCGAGCATGTTTGGTGTAACGGGGATTCGAACCCGCGACCCTCAGATTGCGAGTCGAGTGCCTTAACCACCTTTAAGTAATGAAAGTGTTTTGAAGGTGTCATAAGTAATGTTCAAATTCCAACTATAAATTCACTCTTAAAATGTATAAGCTTTCCTTTAAAGATTGGTATATTTCTAAAATGTGCTTATTTTTCTTTGAAAAAAAAAACAAAACAAAAAGAACTCTTGAAATTTGAAAATATTTCAGGGGACATACGTTTATTTCTTTTTTTTTATTAAGTAATTACAACAAGTTGAATTTCATTCCAACATTAAACAATTTAGATAAACAACAGGAATTAACACATCTGTTGACAATACAATATGGCGGATCTACAATATTTTTTTTATTGATACTGAAAAGTTCCGCTGGTGGATCGGCGGTAAGTTTACGGACTAGCAATTCTAAAACCCGGGATACGATCCCTCGCAATATACAGAGCAGAGATAGCCCATTGTGTAGCTTTACACTTAAAAACGCCCCCCACTGGCACGGCGGTATGTCCGCGGACTTACAACGCTAGAAACCGGGTTTCGATACCCGTGGTGGGGAGAGCACAGATAGCCCATTGTGTAGCTTTGTGCATAATTCCAAACAAACAAAACACTTAAAAACAACAACAAATACTGAAGAAAAAAAATGCATTGGAAATACTTATAACTATTTGTACATATTACTTTCTATGGTGTAACTGGTTACTTTCGTTTCACGCGTATCATGGTATGCTGTTCAGAAGGCGTGTCATGCAATCATTATGTACGATAGAAGGTTTGATTAATCAGAACTCGGTGACCGGCCATGATACGTCACGGATTTTTCTAATGTTAGCCGACACGCACGTGATAAGTTTAGCGTGATGTTTGGCCTATGTCTATATTAGGTTAGGCCTAAGCAGCTATAGCTATAGTAGTATAAATTATACGTTGAATGTATTTTTAGCAAAGACTGCATAAAAATTTTAATGCTTTATTTTAGAGGATTAGATCATTTATGTAATACATTTCTTTTTGTTTTTGTCTTTCATACTTCTTTTTTTTTGTCTTTCATACTTCGCATCACTGCGTTTGATATTCTATTCACTTGACGTATATATATAAAACGTAACTACGAAACATTAAACCCAATATACAAAGCTCGTGTTCGGAAATTAAACGAACGACCAGGAAAAGCTGACTTTTATACAGAAACAGTAATAACATCTCAGATGTTCGAGTATAAAACTCAACAAATAGAAAGTTTAGGCTAGCTAACAGGTAAGATTTACATAATCAAACTAAAACTTAAACGTTAAAACTTTGTAGAATGGACGGCAACTGTCTGTTGTAGAAGTCTTCTACACCTGTTACATCATGAATACTCTGCCTAAACAATCTATCAAAGAAAAACTTTAATTGAATTACAATTAAGGCTTAATTGAGTTAAGAAATAAGGCTTAGCTTAACAAGTAATTTTGAGTTTATTAACATAATTATGGCTTAGTCAAACTAACAAATAAGGGTTAATTAAACAAAAAGTTAGGCTTAAATAAACTGACAATCAAGGTTCATTTAAGCCAATGATTAGGCTTATTCGGAATTTTTTACTACGGCTACGTTATATTTACAAGGGAAGCTGAATTAACTATAATATATAAATAATCTCCAGTTTGAAATAAGTCACGCCATGAGAATAAGTTGATCAGCCTATTATTATTACGTAAACTGTAACTCAATATATAAATATATTTCAGAAGTTATTAACAAGTATAAGTTCATTTCAAATTGTTCAAGCTTACTGTATACCATGATCTTTGGACTTTTTTATTTCGTATTAAATATTATTCGGAATAGACGGTTTGTTTGTGATTAAGCACAAAGCTACACAATGGGCTATCTGTGCTCTGCCCACCACGGGTATCGAAACCCGGATTCTAGCGTTGTAAGTCCGCAGACATACCGCTCTGCCACTGGGGTGCCGGAATAGACGGGAAAACAAACAATATTCGTGCAGACTTTAAAATATCAGTCACATACATATAATAACGAACAATTGGTAGGATTCCGTGGATTCTTGGATCATTACTGATTGGTTTGAATTTCGCGCAAAGCTACCCGTCCCTAACGTAGCAGTGATAGACTACAGTACAGGGAAGGCAGCTAGTCAACACAACTCACCGCTAACCCTTGGGCTCTTTTACCAACGAATAGTGGAAATTAACGTCACATTATAACACCCCCACTACGGCTGAAAGATCAAGCATGTTTGGTGGAACGAGGATTCGAACCCGCGACCCTCGGATCGTGAGTGGAGCGCCTTAACCACCAGGTCATACAAGACCAATTATTGAGCACAAAAGGTCATATAAAATATATTTTCTGGTTATGTTGATAGCTTCTTACATATTTTGTATCAATCCAATATGTAAATAATGCTAATCATCGTATAGACATTATTCTCAGGTCATGACGAGTTTTGAAATTAATTGATTATCCCTTGAAAGTCTTCAAATATTATATCACAGCGACAATGCAACCGTACAGTCAACGTGTAGAGACAGACAGACATACTAGGCTGAGTACGTAATCCTTAACCGTTCTAATGTATCGCCCCCCCTCCCCCAGTATGTCTGCGGATTTACAACGTTAAAAACCGTGTTTAGATACCTCCATTGTGTAGCTTTGTGCTTAACTGCAAACAAAGAAACCATCTGATGTATCCAGAAGTAAACACCAACACGTGTAATGGAAAAAAAAATTAGATCTCGTTTTCTCCAGTACAGTTTCTACAGACACTATTTCAAAAAGTGTTTTACAAGGCTGCGCTTGCGCATAACCTCTGCAGGTCACGTGCAGCTGTTGGTGAATGAAGTGCTATATATATATATATATATATTAGAGTCTTCTCAGTTCTTCAACAGATACGCACACTGCTTCTCTCGTGCGTGAGATGAAAGTCTTGTCTATAAAACGGGCCTCGACGTAAAGGAATCTATATAATAAATATGTACCGTCGTCGTCACTTAGGCAGTTTCAGCGCGTGCACACGAGCTTCGCAATGAATTTATGGTTGTGATTACTATATCATAAAAGATAAAAAGTCATATCGTGCAGGAAAATGAGTATACGGTTATTTTTGATTAAAACTTTGGTCAGTCTTGCTTTAATACTTCAATCCATTTACTGTTCTTCGGAGAATCTAACAGGAGATGAACTAAAAAAACTATTGACAGAAGTAGACATGTTGCGGGAGTTCCGCTACCGAGACCACGTCATCATTAAAACACTAGAAGAACGTCTTAGACAATTGGAGATCTCCACAACTCCCTCTCTGACCACTGGTTCAAATCTTAGATCAGAGTCTTCAACCCCAACGATTTTAGAAGGTTCCAGCAAATCCTTCGTTAATCCATTAGAAGACCGAACTAATGGGAAACACCGACTTCACCATCGCGTTCGATCTGGTCACGGGTGTGAGTCAGTCGGGAACTTTAAGAAACAGCGCCGGGCCTTCAGGAAACTGGAGCACCAGTTACGACGGCTACAGTTGGACTTGGCAGCTGTAAAGAGCGTCAGAAAGAGAGGGGTTGGAGTAGGAGAAGAAGCTGAAGGATTGCGGTTGGAAACGGAGCTTCTGCGGACGGAGATCCACCGATTCCAGCAGGACTTAGAAAGCTTGCGAGCTGACAGAGAAAAGGACCATGCCGCATTAGCTCCGCTCCGGGTGAGCCAAGCGACCAACATATGGTTACAGGAGACAGTGGAACAGCTCCGGACAGAGATGAGTGAGATGGCGAAGTCGTTTAACGTCTCGGTGTCGCTCAATCGGTGGCAGACCCACGAGTCAAATATGGCGCTACTCAGATCTGATTACGACGCTCTTCAGAAAGAAATAGAAACTCTTCAGACGCTTCTTGAGAAAAATTCAGCGTCTGTGGACCAACTCCAGACAGAGATGAAGGACTTAAGAAGTCATTCTCAAAGGCTTTTTGTAGGCTACCAGCATCTTTCCGAAAACGTAAGTCTCTAGAATTTTTAATTATTAATCAAAGATTTTCTTTCGGATCAGAAGGACCAAGGATCAATCCCGCCCTATGCCACTGAACATACTTCACACTTTCAGCTGTGGGTGCGTTATAAAAGTGACAGTCAATTTCGATATTCGGTTTAAAATATTCGTGTAAACGGCGGGAACTGCTAACTGATTGTCTTCTCTGATCAACAGTTCTAACTTAAAGATGATTATGTTTAAACATTGAGATCTCATCTGGTCATTTAACTCCTTGTGTCTAAACATTAAAATATCTCATCTGGCTATTTAACTCCTTGTGTTTAAACATTGAGATATCTCATCTGGCTATTTAACACCTTGTTTCTAAACATTGAGATATCTCATCTCGTCATTTAACTCCTTGTGTCTAAACATTAAAATATCTCATCTGGCTATTTAACTCCTTGTGTTTAAACATTGAGATATCTCATCTGGCTATTTAACACCTTGTGTCTAAACATTAAGATATCTCATCTGGCTATTTAACACCTTGTGTCTAAACATTAAGATATCTCATCTGGCTATTTAGCACCTTGTGTCTAAACATTAAGATATCTCATCTGGCCATATAACATCTTGTGTTTAAACATTAAGATATCTCATCTGGCTATTTAGCACCTTGTGTCTAAACATTAAGATATCTCATCTGGCCATATAACATCTTGTGTTTAAACATTAAGATATCTCATCTGCCTATTTAACACCTTGTGTCTAAACATTAAGATATCTCATCTGGCCTATTTAACACCTTGTGTCTAAACATTAAGATATCTCATCTGGCTATTTAACACCTTGTGTCTAAACATTAAGATATCTCATCTGGCTATTTAACTCCTTGTGTCTAAACATTAAGATATCTCATCTGCCTATTTAACACCTTGTGTCTAAACATTAAGATATCTCATCTGGCTATTTAACTCCTTGTGTTTAAACATTAAGATATCTCATCTGGCTATTTAACATCTTGTGTCTAAACATTAAGATAATTCATCTGGCTATTTAACATCTTGTGTCTAAACATTAAGATATCTCATCTGCCTATTTAACACCTTGTGTCTAAACATTAAGATATCTTCTCTGGCCATTTAACATCTTGTGTCTAAACATTAAGATATCTCATCTGCCTATTTAACACCTTGTGTCTAAACATTAAGATAATTCATCTGGCCATTTAACATCTTTTGTCTAAACATTAAGATATCTCATCTGGTCATTTAACTCCTTGTGCTGCGTAAGGTACTGTTCAAAAGCTCTTAATAATTTCAATGTGCTATTAAACGTAGTTTGTTTGTTTGTTTTTTAGCACAAAGCTTACACAATGACCCATCTGCGTTCTGCCTGTCGCGGAAATCGAGCCCCAAATTTTAACATTATAAACCCTTGAGTTTACCGCTGAGCCATGGGGGAACTGTCATCGTAGAGAAAAACTAATAACGATAAAGGGTTGAGAAGGTAAACACCTTATCTTAGAACTCTCTAACTAACTAACTACCTGTCGATTTGCATATAAATGAAGTGATTTGACGAAACTAACAGATATTCTTGAAACAAAGACATTCTGATAGGAATTACACTTGGAAACCTCTGTCGGGAATACTATAAGTGTTCCACGGAATTATTTGGTATTTTTTATATTTACGTTTTCTTTGTATGACGAGATTTTAAAATATCATCTGTTAATATAAATGATTTTCAACGAACCGTATGACAAGGATCAAGTACTTTGATGAGCCCCCAACCCGGTGGCTCAGCGGTAAATTTGAGGACTCAATAACGCAAAAAATCTGGGTTTCTCAATCGCGATGGTCAAGCACAGATAGCCCATTGTGTAGTTTGGCGCTTAAACTAAAACGAAGAACATTGATGAAAACGTGGGTAATATTTTGAGGTCATTTATTTTTTATTTTTGGAAATGAACGACCTCTGGTAAACCAAGGATGAGGAATCCGTAAAACAGCAGTTTACTGGACGATGTTAGCGTCACAGCGGGTAGTCTCTCCTAGCTCCTCCACGTGTGTGACCAAGTTAGTCACATTATTTCCTTACTCACAGCCTCTGCGTAAGACTAGGATGTTACACAGACACACACAAAAAATGCAATTAGAGACATATAAACGGCTTATTGTGTAGCAGACCACAGGAAAAGGTATGAAATTCGAGAGTACGTATTATAGGAGTTATACGTAGCATAACAGTTTTCAAGAAGGGCCACTGACATGAACGCTTTAGCAGATCTTTCTTCTGTTCCCGAAATATCTGTTGATATTTTCAAATCAATATATATATAAAACAGACAACGTTTGGCTTTACAAAAGAAGAATGTATAAGTTAGGAGGTAAATGAGACACTATTAGTGGAATGTGTTGACAAAACATGTAATATTATATTAGTTTAGCACTATCCGGGACTATTGACAAACTGTTGGAAATAATTAAATGCATCAAACAAAATACAGTATTAAATAAAGATGAAGATCCATATTGTTAATATTTGGGCAGTGTTTATTTGTTTCTTATGAATTTCAAACAAAGCTATTCGAGAGTTATCTGTCCTAGTCGTCTTTAATTTAGCAGTGAGAGGAGGCAGTTAGTCAACACCACCCACTGCCGACTCTTGGGCTTCTCTTTTACCAACAAACAGTGGGATTGATCGTCCCATTATAACGCCCCACTACTGAAAGGGCGAGTATTTTCGGTGACGGGGATTCGAACCCGCGACTGTCAGATTGCGAGTCGAGATCCCTAACCATCAGGCCGTTGCAATGCCATTTAAACAGTAAAGTTAGAGAAAAAAAAAGGGCCTTTTTTTTCTCCAGGTAATAAAATAAAAAAAAATATTTCAACCAACGTTTCTTGATTGCGGCTTCATCAGGGTTAGTAGTACACACTAGCTGAAATACAAACTTTCTTTTACTATTAGCTAGAAAATAAATGTAATTTGTTTCTAACTTTATTGGCAAAATGTCTAAATGCCTCCATCATGCACTACAAATTTGTATAATGGTGTAATAAAATGGTGTAAGTAATGGATAGATTGGATATAAATCAAATGGTGTAAGTAATGGATAGATTGGATATAAATAAAATGGTGTAAGTAATGGATAGATTGGATATAAATAAAATGGTGTAAGTAATGGATAGATTGGATATAAATAAAATGGTGTAAGTAATGGGTAGATTGGATATAAATAAAATGGTGTAAGTAATGGGTAGATTGGATATAAATAAAATGGTGTAAGTAATGGGTAGATTGGATATAAATCAAATGGTGTAAGTAATGGGTAGATTGGATATAAATAAAATGGTGTAAGTAATGGGTA